TTATAGTATAGTACATTATTAGATCCCATATCACAAAAGCCAAAAAATAACAGTTAGGTAATCTCTATCCTTCAAAAGAAAAGTATTCCCATGATAAAGGAGATAAGGAGATGCACCTGGAGATCAGGTTAAAATATACACACACACACACACACACATTCATACACATATATACATACACACTCCTCATAGGTGTGGTAACAATTAATATACAATTGTTCAGATTGGATTTTTATTAAGGTACTAATATTCTGGAGAACACTGATATCCCACTCATGTGGTGTGACAATGTAACTCTGGTTGAAAATTGTGTGAAAGACAAAGTGTAGTTAGAACTAACAGTGTCTGAGCCTTAGCATTTAATTAAGACATTTTCCCTAGAGTGGCATCTAGAAAAAGAACTCCTCAAAAAGTGATTTAAACAAAATGGAAATTTGTTTTTATCTCACTTAGGAGAAGTCCAGAGATAGTCAGTCCAGTGTTGGTTTGGATACCACAGAGTGGCTCATTTTCCTTCCCACCCTCTTGTCTACCATCACTATGGTGCAAAACTTATTTTCATTATCCAAGATGGCTGCTAGAGCTCCTACTAATACATCTTTTATCTCAAACTACAGGATTTTAGAAGATAAAGAGAAAGGAACTTCTCTTCTTGGTGGGGAAGTAAAGGAACATGCTTTCTTTACTTAAAACCTCTTAGGTTTTACCAGTAGATACGTGGTCATAGGAACATCCTTAGCAGAAAAGGAGCCCGGGAAATAAAATCTTTACTCTGAACTAAAAACATGATTCTTTCACTAAGAAAAAGAGGATACTGAGTAGTGGAAGAAAGCTAAATTTCCCAGGCACTCTAAATTCATTCTTTTTTTTTTTTTAATATTCTGCCTCCCTTTCCACTCCTGGTTTCTCTTTCTTCTTCTATTTCTCAAATGGTTATACTAATCTTTTCTATAAATTTTATCCTTTCAATTTCTCCTCCCTTCCAAGGATTCCAATTACTGAAGGAAGGAAAGTGTTAAGGCAGCTAGTCTGCAATCCACTTCTATCCTTATTAGCAGAGGAATTCTCTCAAGGTAAGAAGATAGGTGACCCAGTCTAATCTTGCAAATTGATTGATCACTGGATCTTCTAGAACAGAATCATGGTTTGATATGAGAAGAATCCTCATCTGTTGAATTCTTTTAGCAGGATATGCTTACCCCTTATATTACTTAAAACCAGAATCTATAGATTTATAAGTTATGACCTCCATAAATAAGTCACAAAATTCCTATAGGGGCCTGTTGAAAAAGAGAGAGAGAGCTGTTTCATAACCTACAAGTTGTTAAATACCTATGTGAGAGAGTTCTGGAATCCTTGTTACAAGAAGAGTTTTCCAGGCTGCTCAGATGAGTCTTTGCCACGTAGATCAGAAAGAGGGCACAGGAATAGAAAGTTGGGGAACCATAGGCCCACTGAGGTTTCCTCAAAGAAAAGTGTCCCATGAAGATCTTTCAGTTTAATTCCACTTAAATCTGTGTACCTCCTCCTTCCTGTAGTCTCCATCTCTAGCAGTGCCCACCCCAGTGTGCTTGTCTGAGCCTCTCTCTGAGGCAGGTGTTCTGAAGCAGTTCAGAAGGACATGAACTTGGATGGGGGAGAAAAAAGTAGCATTCTTCTCACTAACCCATAGCTGAACTCTAGCATTTTCTGCCATTATAGAGTAGGCAACAACCACTCTAGGCCTAGCAGTCCCTGAGACCATTGCCCAGAGGAATCACATCACATTACAGTTTGGTGAACAATCTCAAGGTATCATTCACATTCACTGTTACCTCAAAATCACGGTAGTAGCTGGGCACAGTGTCGCCCGCCTGTAATCCTAGCCCTTGGGAGGCTGAGGAAGGAGAATCACGAGTTCAAAGCCAACCTCAGCAAAAGCAAGGCACTAAGCAACTCAGTGAGAACCTGTCTCTAAATAAAATACAAAATAGGGCTGGGGATGTGGCTCAGTGGTCAAATGCCCCTGAGTTCAATCCCCAGAACCTCCCCACCCCAGCAAAAAAAAAAAAAAAAAAACTATGTTAGCTAATAGCCTTGATGTTGAATCTTACTTAAGGCATTAAAGATGTACTATAAAGAGATATAATAGAAATAAATATTTATGTAATTTTATCACAAACTTTCAAAATATTTTGATAACTGAATTTCAATACAATTGATTTCTTTTGTAGCTCTATGTATTTTATTATATAAATTTGAAAATATTATTTTAAAAAGGGGCTAGAAATATCACTAAATGCCAAAAAAAAAAAAAAAACCCTGAGGAACTCAGAGGTTAAGGACATCTGCACTAGGGGCATGTATTGAGGGCAAATAAAACTTCCCAAAAAAGAAAAAGAGAAAGAGGGAGTTGTGCTATACTGGTTTGGAGAAAATATGGTTAATTTAGGAGCTGACTTACCATTTATTGATTGGAATATGTATTTAGTTTGCTAGAAAGTCCAAGGAAGGCTAGGCAGGATGGTGCATGCCTGTAATTCCAGCAACTTCAGAGGCTTAGGCAGAAGGATTGCAAATTGGAGAGGTCAGCTGTAGGAACTTAGCAAGACCCTAAGCAACTTAGCAAAACCATGTTTCAGAATTAAAAAATAAAAAGGATTGGGGAAGAGGCTCCGTGGTAGAGCACCCCTAGTTTCAATCCTTGACACCCAAAAAAATAAAAAAAGTTCAAGGAAGGCCCAGAAAAATCACTTAAAGGCTGTAGCAGAGTGACAAGCTCTGGAGTCAAGCTGCCTAGCTTCAGATCTCTGCCCACCATTCAATGCCTGCGTGACCTCAAAAAACCACTATGCATTGAGATTCGACCTCCTCTTCTGTATAAAGGGCTAGGAGGCTGGGTGAAGACTTAGACCGAGGAGTCCTATGACATATACAGCTCAGTCCAATGATCCTGCAGCCACTCTTGTTTTGAGTAACCTCCTCTGTACACCCCTTCTCTTGTTTCCCTCTGGAGATGGATGCTTCCCTCACCCCATCATACAGGTCTGCTTCCTATGGCCAGTTTCTCTCTCTTCCCCCATCCATATCTCCTCTTAGCAAAACCCACTCTCAGATGAGGCTCAGATAACCCTTATTTAGTTGTGTGTTTGGGGGTTTGGGTCACCTCTTCAGGGACGACAATCCATCATTGTATAAGAAATCCTTCCCTGGTGAAAAGCAACTCCAGATTCTAGGAGCACAAAAAAGAAACGTTTCTCTTCCCAAGTGAATGCTTTCGTTTTTGCTTCTAGTTCTCACTTGTCCAGTTGAAGTTCTACATCATCCAAAAATCTCCCCCGCCTCGCTCATCCTCAATGGCAGGGGCAGGAGGTAACTTGGCATCTGAAGCCTCTGAACCCTGGCACATAGGGCCTTCCTGCCAGTCTAGACATGCCACCAAGCATGGCTTCTGCATCCCTTTCCTCTGCTCCCTAAGGCACACAGCTGTTTAGTATCTTTCTTTGATATTCCTAGGGACCCACAACTAGGTATCTTAGAGAAAGAGCAGCTATGAACACATCTAAGCATTTTTCTTTCCCCCTAAACCCTCCCATCCTCCATGTCTGTGCTGAGTTCCCAGGGGTAGAATGAGCTAAACCTGGCTTGCAAAGGAGCCAGAAATGTCTCTGCTAAACTGCTTAAGGGTCTCCAGAGAGGGCCAGACCGGGGTGGAACAGTCACCTCAAGGATTCTTGGCAAAGATCCTTCCTTTCTAAGATTTTGATGCTCTTGCATGAAATGATAGGCAGGCATGTAGAAGAATCCTGCACTAAGCTTCAGGAGCCTTGGGCTCTATCTCTGGCTCTCACGGTGACCAGCTGTGTGACCCTGAACATCTCTCTTCCCCATTCTGGAGTTCAGTTTCATTGACCATGAAACAAATGTTTTGAATTTGATATTCTCCCTTACACTCTAGGAAGGAGAATTGGACTCCTTCTTTGTGGATGCATCCCAAAATTTATCTTATTTTTCAAGAAACAGGACTCCTATTTATAATTTCTTGGCCATCTCGCCAATTCCTTAGCATTATTTTCCATAATGAGCATGGAACTTGTGTCATGCTTCAGAGCTTGCTGTAGTGACCACCGCATTGCCTTGTTTTAGTGTCTTTAAGAAGCTGTTTTGAAAATAGGCACTAAGCAGGCAAAAGCTTTTACTCTAAATCTGTCCTTATCTTTTATTTTTAGCTATGAAAATCATTTAATTTTACAAAATCAAGTCTTTATGCTTCTGTATAGGACCATGTGAGTATGTCTTTGTGCATTAAAATATTTTGAGAACTGAAAAGAAATACATAATCCTACATGTCACCTTGCTGGGCTCACCACCCTTTTCTGGAGAAGCCAGCAGCTGAGTAGCCAGTTTGATGAATCTGAACACAGCAGGCATGGTATGTTCCTGTCTTGTTCACTTTGCGTGTGTGGGCATGGAGCCTGTTCAAAGGGTTTGCCCTAGCTTACATAATCAGCATCAACTGGTCCTCAGATTTCAAGTCTTGGCACCTAGATGCTAAAAAGCATTCATATTTTTACCAGTGCAGAATTAACGGAAGCGGATACATTAAATCAGTTCCATCTCTTCAGGATGGCAAGGGGAAGTTTGTAGGCAATAAGAGCATGAGGTAGCACTGTTCTCACAGCTCATATGATCATGGAATTGACTTGATATTCACTCAAAGACCGTCTACTACAGCTAGGAAACAGATAGGCAGGAGAGAGAAATTACAGGAACTGTATGGTCAATCATCCTATATATACATCTATTTTTATTTCACTGAATAGTAACACTTTCATTCACTATAAAATCACAAGCAGACACTAATACCCAGAAATATCACAGACAGTTAAACAACTGAAAAATTTGATACATTTTAGGCTGAAAAGCAGAAAGGAATTTTGTTGTCATATTTAAAAAAAAAAAAAAAAAAAACCTTTCTATTTAATACAGTCAACTCTTGTTTAGTATTCTTAAAAGTCATGGTAACCATAATGTCCATAAATTGCATTATCTTATTATTTTTTTAATCCAAAAGCTAACTAGTGATTTTTAGAATGTAATATGTGATTCTATTAGAAAAAATAAGATATTCTTTCCAATGTGTGCTTGGTTTAGGCTAATAATTTAGTTAACTTTTATTTTCTTAGAAAATTCTAACTAAACCGTAGGGTAATTCGGTTGGGTGATGAATGAGAATATATAGGTCTTTGAGATGTATTTTCCATGGAAATAAAGAAAAAATAAACCTTGCTGCCTAAAACAAAGAGTTGACCATACTTGGAGAGAAAACATGACCCAGGAATCCCAGCCTCAAAAATGTTCTGCTCTAGAATTCAACAAGAAGGACAAGACACGTCCACTCTGTAGGTCTACACACTCATGAGAATAAAAGCAGATGGAGAAACATTATTATATCACACAGATTCATGCTGACTGGGAACACACAAGGGAAGATGGTCATTACTTCCAGAATCATGAAGATGCTTTGATTTTGGAGTTTCCAACACCCTGCGCCCAGCTCCTGACTGGAGGCCCATCACCATTCCCTTCAAGTTTTTGCTTCCAAGTCCCTCAGCTCTGCTTGTACCATGTTTTTAGGAACAGAATGCATGAGGCTCTGCTTTAAAAAAAAAAAAAAAAGTAGGGGAATAATTCACAGTTAGAATACTGAAAGAAGGAGATGGCAATGTAACAGGGTTTTCTTTGTCCCAGCACATTACCCAGAATTATTATTCTTTTTTTGGTTTTTCTTGGTGTTTTGTATGGTCGGAAGCATTTTCTCACATAGGTTGTTGGCCACATCCATGAGGTGTTGTGTCAACTTTCAAAACTTCCATGCTGGACAGGCATGGATACATAAGAAAGAAGGAAAGGGTTGAATGAGAAGCCTAAATAGGTTTAGGACAGAATAACTGAGAAGCAAAGATGCAGTATCCTTATACCCAAAGAACTGAAGCCCCTGCCCTGAGCTCCAAATGCTTTTAGAAGTCCTGTTTTGATTCTTCCCTCTGTATTTCCCTTCACCCAGGGGTGAATAGTCCATGGAGCCACTCCCACCCTGAGCCCAGGCTTCCCTTCTCCAGACTTGCCCCAAAGATTCAAAACTCTACAATTCACTGTCCAAATGGTGGCCAGGGTATTGTGGCTTCTTCCTCATGTCCATCCTCTTGATGATAAGCCTTATGTCTATGCAGATCCATACATAAGGCATTGTGTGGCAGGGGAAGGGGGAGTTTGCATGAACTTGGCCATGAATCCTCAGGTTTCTATGTGCAGGCATGCATGGCTGCTCCCAGTGAGGGTCAGAACCAGGGATGAGATGAGATGGGACTCTCCATTGCATTCTTTCCCCAGCCTTCAAAATGTTAGGAGTGAACTCAAGCCTAAGAGTACTCTTAGAGATGAAGCTCGACCAGTATATGATGAGTAGCTGCAATGACCTGGAGAGATCTTCATGCTGTCCACACATGTACTGTGCTCCTAGATACTTGCTCCAGCTCCCTCTTTATTCCAGAGTCTTCGCCACATTTTCCTTGGTTTAATGCCTATTTCATTTTGTCAACGAAATATCATCAACATGTTAGTTTTCACCAGTGCCTACTCATCATACAAATTAGGCATTTAATGAATGTCGACTACTAATGACAGTCTCTTGTCACATCAGTTTTCAAAATCCTGAGCTCCTTGAACACAGTGTCCTCATGACACATTCAATTTGTCCTCTGCAGAAAACCAAGAATCGGTGGTCCATGTGTATATCCAAGCACACTGATCCAGGACCCAAAGATCCTGTCTTGGGTTTAAACTTTGGCAAGGTCCTTTGGATTATTTCAGTCTCATGCAGTCCACCTCTTCAGTGGCAGGCATCCCCATGGTTTTGAGATCAAGGTCAGCGCTCGACTTACTTCCATTATAGGAAGCCTTCCAGTGGAGCAGCATAATCTTCTTGAAGTACTTGATGGTGTTGTTCTTGACGGTCACGAAGCACAGGGTGTTGATTATGCTGTTGCTCATGGCGATGCACTCCACGATGTAGAAGGCGGTGAGATAGTGCTTCTCCTTCACAAACACCGCGGGGAAGAAGTCACGCACGATGGTGAAGCCGTAGAAGGGCGCCCAGCACAGCACATAGGCGGTGAGGATGCACATGAGAACCAGCACGGTCTTCCGACGGCAGCGCAGCCGCTTGCGGATCTGCTCTGTCTGGAACCCGGGGACCGCCTTGAACCAGAGCTCCCGCGAGACCCTGGCATAGCACAGGGCCATGATGACCACCGGGCCCAAGAACTCGATGCCAAAGATGAAGAGGAAGTAGGACTTGTAGTAGAGCTGCTGGTCCACCGGCCAAATCTGGCCACAGAAGATCTTCTCCTGGCTCTTGACAATGATGAGGACCGTCTCCGTGGTGAAATACGCAGATGGGATGGCGACCAGGATGGACACTGTCCACACCAGGGCAATCAGGCCAGTGGCTGTTTGACACTTCATCCGTGGTCTCAGTGGGTGAACAATGGCCAGATACCTGGGGCAAAACACAAATAGAATCATGCCCTGTGAGAAGCCAATGCTGGGGTACCATTTAATTTTTTGCAGGGGAAAGGCAGACTCGATAGCAAGCCCTGGCTCCACCTCTAATTAGCTGGGCAGCCTCAAGTCGGTTTTGTTTAATCACTTAACCTCAGTTTCCTTTCCTGCAAAAGTATTTGTTTTTAAAGATTAGATGTGATAATGTATACTCATTCCTGGAAGACGTTTTAAACTTGGTATATAATGAAAAAAAATGGCCACAATTTTCTAGTCTGGCACTATTCCCAGGTCTTTCCGGTTTTCAGGACATGTATCCAAATTATCAAGAGGTTAAGAGACAATAGGCCGGATAACTCCAAAGAGTTGCTGGGAGAACTCACCCTTTCCAGTAGAAGCAGCAAGCTAAGCTTTGTCTTCATCCCACATTAAAAAAAAAAAAATATATATATATATATATATATATATATATATATATATATCTGCATGCAGGGGTGGAGGAAATGCACATTGCCATTTATCTCATTTTCCAGATGGAAAATGGAGTCTATTGAGAGATGAGTGACTTCTCAAGGTCACCTACACAAGACCCTTGATAGAAAACATTTAACCCTACCTCACAGGGTTGATGTGAAAATCAATTAAGAATATACACGAATGTATTTTTTTTAACCACAAAGCATCAGACAATAAAAGATATTGCTTTTTGTTCTTTCCAAAAGAACCCACATTGTAGTTACCACAGTGGTCCAGGAAGGAGAGAGCACTTTCTGGGGGCCGTTAGTCATTTGTGTGGTATGACAGTAGCCTTTCCAGAGGATGCACACACTTCTGCAAAGAGCTCTGGTTTCCTGGAAGGCTTTCCGTGCCTGGTAGGGAGTGGAAGTTGGAGAAGAAGAAAAATGGGAAGTGAAGTGGGAGGGAAGGACAAATCAGTGCTGGAAATAAACATGTTCTCATGTGTCCACAGCTTATCCCAGGTAGAATGGAGTGCAAATGTGACAGGGGCCTGAAGGAAGGCCAAACCAGTTCTGTTTCCTTTGAAACCGATCCCTTTGAGGTCATGTTTCTTGGGATTGTAAACTAAAGAGAGCTTCATTTTTTTAAAAATTTTTTCCCCTAATTGTAGTTCTCTTACTTCCATCCCTCCCCACATGACATAGGCAGCCAAAGCCATTGAGTATATTTGAGAGGTCACTGGAGTGAGATGCCTGCTCTCTTCCAGCTCCCAGAAGATGTTAAATGATGCTGGATAGGTTGAGTCTACCTACTGGACACCCAGCTGGCTGCCCTGGCCACCCGCATCCATTCCCGGCACTCTAGCCAGCTACTTAGTACTGAAAATGGAATGGAAATAACCACAGAATATTGACAACATTTTGACCGTTGCACATGCGTGAGGCCTTTCATCAAAGGCCACAATGCTCCCAATATTACAGGAACATCAAATGTGCTTGGATTTGCCATTAAAATTAAGAGTGTGGAGTTCTGTTCTCATTGGTGCATTTGCTTTCTATTTACCTCACAGGGTTCTGCTGGTTGTCACAGAAAATTTCTACCTTCGTATGTGTTCACAATATGACTTTTTTCTGTTTCTTCTCCCAATAGTAGCTTTCTAACTCTTTATGATGAATCAAATTCAATGTTTTTTAATGAATACGCAAGCCAGAACCCCATCTAGAACCTCAAAAGACCAAGAATCTAGTCCCAGATTTCCTGCAACTTGCTATATCAATTTCAGTCTTTTTTCTTAGCACTGTTGGTTTAATTTTCTCATCTGTAAACTGGAGATATCACCCTGATATTGTAAGGTTCCAATGAGCTACTGCATATAAACAACAATAAGCTATTAATATACAAGAAGCTACTAGTACCTTAAAATCACTTTTATTTTTCAAAGTTATTCTGTATTCACAACAATGTTCTTGATAAATTTTGCTTTTGCAAGTCCTCGACAACTTTCTACTTTACTGAACCCAAACCTTCACTTCAAAACTAACCTTCAAGGTTATTTTATCCTGACTGTCTCTGACATCATCCCAAATCCATCCCTAAAGGATCAGTGTCATGAGCTGTGCAAAGGACATTCCTCATACACTTACCACCTAGTAAGTTGCAGAAAAGAGTTTCAGGGATTCCCATCAGCCTTGGCTGGGTGAAGGTCAGAAATGACTCTAGTATTGGTAATTCTTGCTTCTGTTTGTAAAGAAGTTTACAATTTATAGAGACTTTTCAAATCTATATTTTCATCAGGCAAGCGCAACCCTATTAGAAGGGTAAGAGAGCAAAGATACCCATTTTATGGATGAGTAAGCTAAGTCTTGGGGAAGTGAAATAACTTGCTAAAAGCCACACAGCTAGAAACTGACAAGAGCCATGACCCACATATTGCTACAAATCTGGAGGCCTCTTCAATATGCCATTTGTCCCTTTACTTTCAGTAAGAACAAACAGTGCCCTTTCCTCCACCTTCCCAGTAGCTCAGCAGCCCTTCACCTTTCCCTCCATCATGCTGAGTTTTACCCACTGATGTTCCAGGAAGCAGTCAGATAATTGACAACTACTTTTCTCAACTTATGAGCATGACCTTGCTTGCCCTCTGCATCTCCAACCTCAATGGTTTCGGTCCAGATCCACCCAAAGCCAACAGTTCCAGGAGAATAAGGAATAAAGCCTGTTGGACAAAGTAATGCCCAGGAAGTAGTCTGTGAGATAGTGGGCAGGGTGATCAAGCACAAGATTGGCTCCCTTTCTGTCCCCAGGACTCAACCCCATGCAGCCATGGTAATGGTTACAGCAGCTACTGGCCTGGTCATGGGATGGGCAGAGTGTACCACCTGCTTCCTGGGGTAGCTGTCCCCAACTGATGAAGGGTCCAGGGGGCATCTGTGCTTCCTAAGGCTGGACTATAACAGTCTGTGCTTCCTAAGGCTTTGCCTGTAACAGTCATTTCTCTCCATCCCTTGTGTCTCTTGGACATAAATTCCATGACAGCAAAATTTTTTTTTAATCATATCCTTAATCCTTGGAATCATACTTGTCACGTGGCAGTCACTGTAACTGCTTGTTTGAATGAATGCCTGCATGAGGGAATGAATGTTTAGGATGGATTATGAATGGAGGGGCTGACAGACAGGCAGAGTCAAGAGACACTGAAGTCAGGAAGGCCAAGGTGAGACTAGGATGGCCCAACCTACATGAACATGGTAGGGGGCAGGAGTAAGTTTTACCAGGACCTGGAAGTTGAAAGAATGTTGGAGAACAGAAGGACAAGGATAAAGAAGCCTTCTAGTTTGAACAACAGAATCGAGAGAAGAAACAGAGCCAGGTGCAATGGCACACATCTGTAATCCCAGCAGCTTGGGAGGCTGAGGCAGGAGGATCAAGAGTTGAAAGCCAGACTCAGCAATTTAGTGAGGCTCTAATCAAATCAAGGAGGCCCTGTGTCTAGATAAAATATTAAATAGGGCTGGGGGTGTGGCTCACTAGTTAAGCATCCCTGGGTTCAATCCCTGGTACCAAAAAAAAAAGTTAAAACAGAAATCCAAACAGGTAGAAAATACATAATTCTGTTCTGCCATATCTTGAGAGTTACATATTTTAAAATTCTTATATTATTATTTTGTGTAAAGCACATGGAAACAATTGTTTCAGTGAAGACCAAAAAGGTTAGCCAATTGAAAATATTCATTAATTTACCTGGTTTTGTGGTTCTTGTTCTTTGAAAGGAGATTAATATAAGAATTTTCTGATACACTCTTCATTTAATGCTTACTCTATCTTAAACATTGTCCTAAGCAATTACAGAGATTACTCCATTTAATCCTCAAAGAAATGCAATACATTAGATTTTCTTATTGTCCTCATTTTGTAGATGAGAAAACTGAGGGAGATATCGGTCAAAAAACCAAGGCCTTACAACAAATAGGTGTTACAGTAGCAATTCAAACCCAGAGTAACGGCTAACACTATTCCTACAGAAATTCCATTAAACAAAAATAAAGGCATTTTTACAAACTGTCAAGGTGTGTGTTACACCAAGATAAGAATTTAGTTGCCTTGAGCTAACCAAATTAAACCTGAAGATTACTCATAGGATTTTGAATATCACAAAGGAACAGACAAAAATCAGTGATTCCTAGGCCACAAAATTTAAATTACATGATAGCAGCATTTTTACAAAAACATAATTTGAAGAAAAAATAAAAAAAAATCAATTAAAAAAACTTAATGCCTTAGGCAGCTGGTCAGTCAGGCCAGGCCTTGGATGGCAGTGTTAGTACACCTTGTTTTCCACCAATGTCTGGATGCATTGGGATAGACATCCCACTCTGAACAATAGCAGTGCGCTCAGTGTAAAGTATGCCCTTCAATTCCTCTTTCTTATTACATCTAATCTGTATTATGTCAACTAATGGTTCAAGAGAAATGCTCACAGTATTTCAGACAAGCTGAGTTTGGTATGAAATTAGGATATGAGCTTGGAGGAGTTCAGTGGATTGAGGTTGATTGATTGACAAAGATAATACCGCCACATGTTAAAGATAACCCAGTGCCCTTCAGTTTATCCTAACTTCTTTCTCCCTTGAAGCCTCCTATGGTTGTCAGATCTGATGACAAGTGGGCCTTCCGTGGTGAGATGGATCTCACTCAGGGAACAAGGCCCCACTCCATAGCAGGTACCTACTTACACTCCTTTTTGTAGCTCAGAGAAACTGGGGGGCAAATATGTCTTGCTAGCATGAAAGTTCAGGAAACAACCCCATATTCTTTGTCTTTAGAAGTAAAGGGAACAGTTTCCATTTTCAGAAAAGGTTAGAAGTCAAATCCCTGGAGCTCTTCCTCAGTAGCTCTGAAAGGAAACTTAGGTGAATACTGTGCTTGATCACCACCCTCCTGCTATAGAGTCCTTGCCTAAGTGGACAAATGTTGTGGGGCTCTGCCACTTGTGTGGAAGACCATGACCAAGGTGAGGCTGCCATCTGAAAGAATGATACCTCCAAGCACCTGCTCTAGGTGACAGACCAAAAGCCATTTCAGCTACTAACTCCCTGACATTCTTCCAGTGGCTGCCCACTCAGTGGTTTTAAAGCCAGGCTCCTCTGTAGTCTCTTTCCTTAAGAACAGACTTTTTCCAGGTTATTCCACTTTGATTACCTTGTCCCTAGCTTCAGAAAGCATGCTCTATTAGCTGTGCTTCTCGCTTGATCACTGATCTGGGGTGCCTGAACTGTGAGAGGCAGATGGAACACCCCGGAGCCCTGAGGCAATGGGACAGGACAAGCGTGGGTGCTTTAGGTTCTCTGGATATAAAGGGAGGCAGATTGTTCAGCTCCCAGTACACAGAGTCTTGATTTGACCCTCAGGGTTACTGTCTTAGATGTAACAAGATGCTTTGTAATGAAAGTCAAAGTGGGCAGAGGAGCTTGCAAAGACCTCCCCAGGAAACAAGGACCACTCTGGCCCATTTAGCACAAGTGTATACCAATGAAACAACTAAATATAAGAAAGGTTTGCCGAGATTGCTCTTATTGATTTTATTTACCAGTTCTAAAAACAGGTCTCTTGCCGAGCTGCATGCAAATGGGTTTGAAGGCACAAAGCCATTCATGTAACCACAACAAACAAAATAAGGAAGCATAGGTTACCTTGTTTCTTTTCCAAACAATTCCCTCAATCAATGAGCCATCAATTAGTGCTAAGAGGTCGTGTGTTAGAGGAGGAAGTCTTGAGGAGATAGAAACTTCTCCTAAGATATTAAAATAATTACTTGGAACTTAAACTTGTTCCTGAACATCTCTTATGGCTACTCTTAACCTTGAACTGGTACAACATCTATGAGCAGGTCCACAGCAGGCAAACCAGATGCCTTCTTACTGCCCAGCTCCAAAGTGCCCAACTCTGCCTCCTGTCTCACCAAAGCTGGAAAACTGGAAATCTTCCAACTGTCCAGTCAATGGGGAAACTTTTGAGTGTCTCATGCCTGCAACTGCAATAAAGGAAGGGATCATTCCAATGGCCCCTCTTCCCTGACTAACTTTGTTTCCCCCAACTACCCTGCACTCACCTGTCAATGGCGATGGCCAGCAGGGCATTGGTGGAGACATAGAGAGAGACGGTGCGCAAGTAGTTGACAGAGGCACACAGGACATGGCCATGTTCCCAGGAGAGCTGGCGCACCACATAGTAGTCCATCTCAAAGGGGCAGCAGACAACAGCCACCAGGAAGTCAGAGATGGCCAGGTTGGCGATGAGCAGGTTAGTGAGGTTACGCAGCTTCTTAGAGCGGGCTAAGGCGGCAATAAAGATGAAGTTGCCAATGCCACAGACCAGCATGATGCCCACCAGGGCCATGCCAATGACAATCTTGGCAGCAAAGAATGTCCGGGAGTTCGTCACATCCTCATCCTCATCCAAGGGCATGTCATAGTCACCATAGCTGAAGTTGAATGGAAAGGAAGCTGTGTGGGCTCCATAGGGGTTGAGTACAGAGAGGAAACTGGTGGAGGAGTTGGTGACATTCTCATCCACGACCCCCGTAGTGATCTCCATCTGTCCCTGCGGAGCTCTGAGTGATACTGCTGGGAATTCCGGAGAAATCTCTGCAGGCTGATGTCCCCTCTCTCTGCTGATGCTCTGCTCTCCCTCAATGAGTCAGTGTCCCTGCCAGCATCCTTGGGGTGCAGTATCCGAGCTCCATTCTAAGCCTTTAAAAGACATACAAATAGTTGGCTGCATGTTGAAGTGAACCTGGTTGGATTTAAAATCATTCTGTAACCTAAGCAGACCCATTAGCCACCTGCTCCGAGTGAACATAGATAGGGTGATGGAGTGGAAATAAAGGAACCAGTGAGAGAAAACAAATGAATGAAAACCACATCTTCACTCAATTAGAGAATGCTGGATAGCTGTAGAGATAATGAGGCTGTGCTTCCATTTATTTCCATTCCACTCAAAAAAAAAAAAAAATGATGCATTCTTTCTCAAGGACCAAAGTTGGGAGTGTGAGGCAGCTGAATGGAATAGAAGTGACCTATTCCAAAGTCCACTCACTATCCTAAAAGCCAGACCAATAGTCCTGTGTGGTAACCACAGATCCTTTCCAGTGGCTCAAAAGAAACTCCTCTGTATGCCATTGAAGAGTGAACACTCTGAGACAACCCCATCAGCTCTTCTGAGCTATTCTTCTGGCAAAACACAGCTGTAAAAATCACAGAGCTCTCTCCTCCCTGGGCTTCCTGTTCCCACATCAAAATCTGTTGTGACCCTAGAAGCTGGATACCATGTTTCTCCAGACCTGTCCCCAGGCAGAAGCTTGCAGGGTGGAAGTCACAGCCTGTCACTAAATGAGTGAGTTATAAAGAGAACCTGAAAACAAATTCCTTCCTTGGCTGGTTGCGTGTCCTGAGGTAAATAGCTTAAACACTCAGAGTTTCAACATCCTCCAGACAGGAGATCAATATCGTCTGTAAAGCATGGAGCTCCCTGGAGAGGGAGAGTGTTACACCCCAGAACTGCACTCAGGCCTCCCAGCCAGTTGCAAACATGGGGAGGGAAATCCTGCTGCAGAGACCCCACACCACATACGGGGGCTGGGATGGGAAAAGAGAGGAAGCCAGAGTTCCCTGTCCCTTCTTTGGGCAGTCCCTTCCACAGCCAAAGACATCAGGCCAGGGAGCTGGATGTAAGAGAAGGGCTAGGTTTGGAGAGCATCCTAAAGCTCAGGAGAACGGGAGGGAGAAGAATAGCAAATCTAAATTCCTGGAAAGGGGGGACATAAAGAAGAACCCCCCAAAATCCTGCTGCCTTATTCCTCAAAAAGACAAGACATCTGGAGCATGTCTTTATGGAGGGTTAAATTCCCTCTGCACCTCAATGAAGTTTAGACCCACTGCTGCCTCCCCCTCCCTGTTCTTCACCCTGAGTTGGCCTTTTCTCTGAGTTATCACTTCGGTCCATCTCATCCCTGCTCTCTGTCTCTGTCAGGTGTGAGGCAGAACCCAGAGATGAAAAGCCAAAAGGGTCAGGCTTGGAAGCCAGGAAGGCAGGGCTGCAATACCCTGGGACACATCTCACCGCTTGCAATCTCTGTGTGTCTTTGAGGCATTCCACCTCCAGAGAGGTACCCTACAATCACCTACCAGGAAGGCTCAAAGTCAGGATTTAGAACAAAGAATAGCAGAAACTTCTAAAGGGCGGTGGGGGGGGGGGGAGACTAAGGCATTAGGAGATTAAGGACTGGAAGAGAAATTGCTCAGGGATCCTTTCCCCTGTATTCTCAGCCCTCAAGGAGGACCCCAGTTCCCATCCTCCGCTGTCCTCTGGATCGCTGGAAGCGTCCCTTTGCAGCGCTTGCTGATAAACTCTCTCCTGCTCCCAACTTTCTCCTAGGAGCCTAGGTGGCTATGCCTAAAGAAAGAGGGAGGGGGCAGATTGGCTCCCCGAAGAAACGAACGCAGTCCAGTCCCTGGAAAAGTCCCCTCCCCATTCAAAAGCTCCGGCTTCATCACCCTCACCACGCCGGCCTCTGCGGGCTGGTACCACTTGGGGTCTTTGGAGCATCTCCCCGGAGAGCGCGCTCAGTACCTGCGGCATCTCGGCGCCCAGCGGACGAGGGTCAGGTTTCTTCATTCTAGGGCCGTGGACAGTACAGGCTTTCAGAGACCCGCTGGCGGGGACAAGTCCCCTCTCTCCTTCTCCTCTGGAGGATCTCTCCCGGATAGGGAGGGAGTTGCGCTGTCTCTAGCGCGGCAGACGGGGAGAGCCGCAGCGAGGCCACCCCCTCTGGAACCCGCCCCGCACTCGCTGTCCCCGCCCCCGGTGGTCGCGGGGCGGCGGGGGCTCCGAAAGGTGAGCTCCGGACCAGGGCGCCAGGCTACGGGGGGTGGCAGGGTCCCCTCTCGAAGTAGGGGTACGTCGGGGGTCTCTCGGGCACACGCGGGGCTTGGGAGCCGGGGGTCGTCCTTCGGCCGTTGTGTCCGGGACGCAGAGGCGGCAGCTCGCGGCGGGGACGCGCTGGAGGGAGGCAGCCCAGGCGGGCGGTGCGTTCCCCGGGCTCAGCCTCCGGAACGGCCGCCTCGGGCGGGAAGGAGGGCGCCACGCTCTGAGCAGGGCTCTGCGCCCAGCCTGCCGGGGGTGTGCCCGCCCCAGGGCACCCGGCTCCACGCCGCTTCACCTGACCGAACCACCCAGCGCGGCCACCAGAGTGGGCGGGCGGACAGGGCCCCGGCTGAGCCTAGAGCTTTCAAAGGACCGGGAGGAGCCTCCTCTGCTGCCCACAACATGACCCTCACAGGATATGCGAGGACTGGCCCAAACCTCATCCTCTCCAGGGAGCCCAGCGGAGCGCCAGGGTCATCTTCATCATCAGCTGCCTGAGATCTACTTTCTAGAGAGCAAAGCGAGGCGACGCGGGCACCACGGAGAAAGGAAAGGTCTCCTCAGCCCCCAGGGAGGTCTGCTCAGAAGAAGGTTGGGACGACCAGAGCTGACTTCCAGAACACGGATCTCCTTCAAAATCCTATAGATTTCTCAAAACCTTGAACATAGAATTTCCATATGATCAGCAATTCCACACCAAGGGATATAACTAGAAAAAAAAATTGAAAGCAGGAATTCAGATGTGTGTGCACCAATGTTCACTATTCACAATGGTCCAAAGGTGGAAACAACCCAAATGTCCAGCTGATGAACGTTTAAACAAAATACATGATGTGTACATACGGTAGAGTAATATTCAGCCTTTAAAAGGAGTGAAATATAACAATGTTGGTGAGGATGTGGAGAAATCAGAATTCTAGTGTACCACACTGGTGGGAATATTAAATAATGTGATCACTTTGGAAAATAGTATAGTGTTTCCTCAAAATTTTAAAGAATAGACTTACCATATGATTCAGCATTTCTACTTTGGGTGTATATCTAAAAAAATGTATGAGGTATTTGTACATTATCAATATTATTCACAATAGCCAAATCATGGAAGCAATAGAAGTGGACAAATGGGCAAACAAAATGTGATATATGTAAATGTAAATATGTAATGAAATTCAGCCTCAAAAAGGAAGGAAATTCTGATATATGCTGTAACAAGGGTGCACCTTAAGGACATTATATTAAGTGAATAAGCCAGTCACCAAAAGACAAATTTTGTATGATTCCACATCTAGATCAGACAAATTCAGAGTCAGAAGGTAAGTATGATGGTTTCCAGAGGCTGCAGGGAGGCACGATGGGGTTTGTTTAATAGGTTCAGACTTTCTGTTTGAGATGATGAAAAAGCATAAATTGGTGAGTTTTATGTGTATTTTGCAAAAATACCTGTCCCTTAGAACAGCTCAGATCTCTTTAGCAAGTCGTACATCCAGTGTCTATCCATGATTGGCCTCCAGCTGTCCATAATGGAAAAGATGCTGCCCAGGATCTGGACTGTTATTTCACTTTGCCACTGTTGAACTGTGTGACTTTAGGCAAGTTACATAACCTCTCTGGGGTTCCATTTTCTTACTAATAAAATGGATGAGTTGTGCTTGCATTAAGAAATCACAACCAGATTCCAATAGTTCATGCAGTATCTTCTTGGGGCCTGCATCCCACTCTGGACAAGTTCTATCATTCCTGCAAAACTCCTGTCATTTGCAAAAAAAAAAAAAAAAAAAAATGTCATACCACTTTCAAGTCTGAATCTCAAGCTTCCTGAGACATGGAACAGGACAGTGGTAAAGAGCTTGGGATTCAGAGTCACCTGCCTGCTTTCTGTCTAGCTCTACACACATGACCTGTGTGATCTTGGGCAGTGTGGTAACCAAAGCCCACTTTCTTCATTTGTAAATTAGGGTTGACAATAGCTCCTACATCATAAACTTGTTGTGATTATTAAACAAAGTAAGGCAGGTAAAGTGCTTAGCTCAATGATTGGCATTTAGCCACGTTTCTGAGAAATGCCAGCTATTACTGTAACTGATTCTTTCCCTATCTTGCTCTGTGAGATCCTAACCAATCTAAGAGACCCTGCTTACATGCCATTTCTTGTGGGAAATATGACTTATTTCTCCTACTTATTTTTATTTCTTCCTTATCACTTAGAATTTTTCTTTAAATGCACTTTTGTGTATCAATTTGTTCTCCATATTGTACTGTCCCCTGAGGAAGGGCTAGATCACCTTCAGTTTTGCATCATATTCTGCAGTTGTTTCTCAAACTTTCCAGGTGATAAAAATTATCTGGGGTGCTAGTAGATCTTACTAATTCCTGGGTCTGACTGTAAACCTAGAAATGGGGCTTAGAAATCTGTAGGTTTAGCCAACACCCCACCCCAGGTCATTCTTATTGCCAAATGTGTTTGAGAATATGGTAACATAGACCAGAGCCTGGCACCAGGTAGACATTGATTTGTCAGTGTAGACATAGCATATGTTTTCTTGACTCTGTTTATCTTTTCCTGGAAGTAAAAAAAAAAAACAATTTCACTATTTATTTATTGCTGCTTATCAAATCATCCCAACCTAGTAGTTAAAGCAAACATGTATTATCTCCCAGTTTCTGAGGGCTAGGAATGTCAGAGAGGCTGAGCCAGGTGATTCCTGGCCCAAGGCCTGCCATGAGATTGGAATCAAGCTGTCATCCAGGGCTGCATTCTCATTTGAAGGTTTAACAGAGAGAGAAATGTGCCCTTGAGTTCACTCATGTGGTTATTGTGGGGCCTCATCAAGTGGGTCTACTTGAGTGACCTCACAGCATGGCATCTGACCTCTCCCACTTCTACCATATGTCTTATACCATCAGACAAACCCTAGTAAAGGGAAGTAGGGAAGGGGGACCACACAAATGCATGAACACCAGAAGGTGAGAGCCACTGTGACTAACATGGAAGACATCTTGGAGGCTGGTACCAAGTAGAACTCCAGATTTCCCCTTTCTCCTTCACAGTCCTGGTAGGAAATGGTAGTTGAGGCCAATAATGAGGGTAGCCACAATGGAGACATTTCTGTCTGACCTGAGGCTGGACAGGCTGTGGATGACTTCTGGATAAATGGATATGCCATGGTAAATAAGTCAGGAGGACATAAGGACATAATTGGGATGATTCATTGGACTTGTTTAGGGGAAATGTAATATTGGGAGTCGGTGTGGTCTGGCAGGCTTTATGTGCTACAGGTCCTATTGGGGCTCCTTTGAAGGGTTTGGGAGCCTGTATGTTATTTTCTGCTTTCTTTCCCAGCCCTCTCTTCAGCTGAAACTCTCTGAGTATCCAAGTAGAATCCATTTAGAATTTTGATAGTCTGTCTCTGTGACAGAACTAAACTAGGACTACCTTGGCTTAAAGAAATAACTGTAACTCAAAACTAATTTTTAATGGATGAAAAGGAAATGAGTTAAAAAAAAATGTGGAACTCCATTGATAATTATTCCCCAAAATGTAAAGCCCCAAGGACACCAACAACTGAAAAATTGGCCTGTGATTAGTTCACTGCCATGAAGGGCAGAAGTACGTTGGCTCACCTTGCCTACAATGATCCACAATATCTTAGAAAATTTGCCTCCTCAGGAGTCTTGACAAACAAGATCCAAAGAACCTTTTGAGGAAGCACTTTCTTTGGAGATGTCCACCTACCCCCAAATAATGTTCTTGGATGCTTTTATTTATTTTTTTCCTTTCCTATTCCATTCACAGGTATAATTCCAAGAATAATTCTCATTTATTTATTTTATCCCATAGTTATATCCCTTTGGGTTTAGACATGGAAGTTTTGAACATCTTAGTGCTTTTGTCAACCATGCAACTCCTGTGATATAATGAATACCACATATAAATCTGGCTCTAGGAGGACCTTCAAGTTCATTTGGTGAGTACTATTCATTGAGAAAGGAGCCAACAGATGGTCAAAAGGGAAAGCCATTCACCCAATATACAGAGCCAGCTGATTTCAGAGTCCATATTCAAGTCCCAGTCTCCTGATGTTTAGCACATCCCTCTACCCACTTCTCTGGCCAGCTATATTCACAACACTATCTACCTGTTCTCATTTTGACCTTCTCTCCATGATCCTTGGCTCCAGGGCCCAGTCACAATTTCGCCTCTCTGGAAAATTTACTAAATCAGCTTATATTCTGCTTTCATCAAATTTGTTCTCTCAGCACACCCTCATCCAGTGCCATGAAAAAATCAAGGATTCCTGGAAGATGCCAGAACTGGCTCAGAGCTCATCCTGCCTCCTGTTCCAATTACCTCTCCAGCATCCGAGCCAGCCATGTTTGACTAGCTTCCCAAAGCCCACTCAGCAGGTTGCGCGGGCTGCCCTCTGCCATCCCCTAAGGCCTGCTGGAGGGGATATGAAGGAGCATTTGGATAGGTACACAGACAGGCCCTGTTTCTGAAAAAGAGCCTAAACAAAAATTGTAACTCTTTCATTATTCTCAACTTGCTTTTTCTGGGGGGTAGGGTAGGTACTTAGGATTGAACTCAGGGACACTCAACCACTGAGCCACATCCCCAGCCCTATTCTGTATTTTATTTAGTGATAGGGTCTCACTGAGTTGCTTAGCACCTCATTTTTGCTGAGATTGGCTTTGAACTCAAGATTCCCCTAACTCAGCCTCCCCAGCCGCTGGAATTATAGGTGTGTGCCATCACACCCAGCTAAGTGCCTTATTATTGCCCTAAACCAATTCTTAATGAAATTATTTTGGAAGTGAGAAAAACTATTCAATACATATGAACAGTTTTTCCTATTTGGAAGCACAAATAGGAAATAGCATAGAAGAATATTTTGAAAAAGTAATAAGAACATTAATGTCCCATTAATATCAAAATATTATGAAGGTTTAAGAAGACAGTGATAAGATAATGAGCTTGAGCACAAGGGCACCCACTGGGACG